GAAAATGTTTATTAAATTTTATAATAAATCATATTCTACATTTAATATAAAAAATCAGAATAAATTTATTAAATTTTATACTAAATCATAATTTATTATAAGTTTAGTATTAAAAATCATAATAAATTCATTAAGTTTTATAAGAAATCAGAATTTATCATAACTTTAATACTACAAAAAGGAGAATCAGTTTATTAAATTTATAAATAAAACATAATGTATTATAACTTTAATATTTAAAAAATCAGAATCAATGTATTTCTATTTACTAGTGTGAAATAAATATATTAGAATTTATAATAAATCAGAATAGAAAAGAAAATATCAGATAACCGTGTAAAAACATCAAAATGCATAATAAATCAGTAAATCGTCATTTACTAATTTGTTATTAATCTTATTTTCTTAGCTTTATATAATGGTTGGGAATAAGATACTAGTCTAAAAATATGTATTAATGCTTCTTTTATCATTTTACAAAATATAATTGCATATTTCCACAATGTCTCTAATTTTTACAATATTTCTCCTCGACATTTCCGACATATGTCCTATATTTTGGTAAGCAACATTTCCATCGACATCGACATTTTAAACCTTGCTCTTAACTATTTCCTAGGACTTGAAGTTCAACGGAGCTCCCGAGGTTATTTTGTTTGCCAACACAAGCATCCCTCTGATCTTGTTAAGTTGGCCAACCTCACTGATGATAAACGGGTTGATACTCCCTTGGAGTTGAATGTCAAATTATCCAAATCAGAAGGCTCCCTGCTTCCTGATGCTTCCCTCTATCGGCAACTTGTAGGGTCTCTCATCTATCTGATCATGACTCGTCCTGACATCTCACATGCAATTCAAGTTGTTAGTTAGTTTGTCTCTTCCCCTTGTCAACCTCATTTGACTGTGGTGCATCGAACCACTCACTATATTTGGGGCTCTTTATCACAAGGTCTTCTCTTCATCTTCTTCTCTCCAACTAAAGGCCTATGCTGATGCAGATTGGGCTGGATGCCTCGACACACGCTGCTCCACTACCAGGTGGTGTGTTTTCATGGGTGACTCTCTAATATCATGGAAATGCAAGAAACAACAAACTATTTCCAAGTCCTCTACAGAAGCAAAGTACAGGGCAATGTCATCTGTTTGTAGTGAAGTTGTTTGGCTTCAATCTTTGTTTCAAGAGTTGGGTCATTCCTCTCCTACGCCCATTCCTCTATATGTGGACAACACTAGTGCTATTAAGATTGCCTCTAATCCTGTCTTTCATGAAAAGACAAAGCATATTGAGGTGGACTGCCACTTTATCCGCAACCAGTTTCTTGCAAACTCTATCTGTCTCCCTCATGTTGCCTAATATGCAAGTTGTTGACATCTTCACAAAGGCAATGACGAGGTCTAGACACTTATTTCTTGTAAGCAAACTGATGCTCATGCCTCTACATCAGTTTGAGAGGGAGTGTGAAGAAACTCCCTGATGTACCATTTTATTGTAGTCCTTATCGTATTGTTTCTCTTATTTTATTATTATTTTCTCTTCAGCCCTGCAAGGGCCTCTCTGTAAATTCTCTAATTTCTGTTGCCCTACAAGGTGTAATCTGAAGAGCTATACTCAAAGTAGCAAGGAAGAGAAGAGAACCACAGAAAAGAAGAGAATGTCGAACTRTACTAGCCAGTCGACCAGTTCTTTATTTATAGATGAATATAGTACAAGGAACAAGAAATTACTAGGATGCCCCTGATTAGTGATGGGASACCCAGATGACTTAAATCATTAAACAGGATTAGGCCCATTAACACAAGCCCAGTTACAAGATAAGTTAAACATAAGAATGGGCTAATAAGAACTCTTATCAGCCAAACATCACTCTAACATTGTAACACAAGGGTCTCTCTGTAATTTTTTTTTAATTTCATTTTCTATATAAAGGACCCTTGGGGTAGGGTCGAATCATCCATTCTTCATCCCCAGAATTCTGTATTCTGCTCTGGGTCTGTTGACAGTTTTCTCCAACTAACATCAAATCATACCCATGGATTTGTGAAACATTCAAAAAGGAAAAGGTAAACATATGATAGGATAAGTAATCAGAGCCATTAAGAACATACAATGCGACCCAAAGATGATGATCTGGCTTCCCTTTTTGCAGTAGATTGGCGCACCAAGAAGCTCCAAAAACCATGATGGTTACTAACCTCCCTAAAAAAGAATCCTAGAAAAATCAGAAAAAAAACAAAATAAAGGAAACAGAAAAATTCATACCATGAATGAGATTAAATACCAATATAAAGAAAACAAAACGATCAATTAAGCATTTGGAGCTGCACACAAACCTATCTGCACAGATTTCATCTTGGGTACTCCTATTTAGATTCACATTACTACTTTTTATGTTTCTCCTATTTGAATACTGCTGCTCAATAGTAGATGGAACTGAGCGACTATCAACATCATCTCCCTGGTTAATTAGCACAAAGGATTCATTCAGGAAAAGATCAGAATGAACTAAGATGTTAGACATTGAATAATGAAACATAAAAAGTGAAGGTCAATGTCAGATAAAGAAAGCACAAGTCTAACAAGAACCTAGAAAGCATCATATAGAGCTCATATGTCACTTACAGATGCAGTGAATAGAAGTGTAGAACTACACTCACATGCATATGTACACGTATACTAGGGGTATTATAAGACATAATCCAATTAGATATCTAAGATATATGGATCTAACTCATTTCATCTAATAAAGTATGGCTAAGATTCGGGTATAATATATTCTAGATAAAAATCAACCATAGTTAGCAATATTGACAAGATTTGGTGAAATCTCCCTTATTCACTACGGCATGATACAAAATATTTTTACAAATTTTCCCATATATCTCCAATACATTGTTGATATTGATGATATTTTGAATTTCATTGATAAATTATACATCTAAGCCTTGCATTTTAGAATATCATTTGAACTTTTTGATATTTCATTCACATTATCGATTTTTTGGAAATGTTTTCTTGAAAGAACAAATGGAGATCAATTATAAAATCAGCTCCCTTCTCTGATGTGTGGGTTGTGTGCTTTGTTGCCTGAGTCCATCGACCATCTGTGCTTACATTGTCCTATCTCCTCAAAAGTCTGGTATCATTTCATTGGAGCAGCTGGTCTTAATTGGGTTATGCCAAAGTCAGTTAAAGATCTGCTGCTTTGCTGGAATCTCCAAGGTTTGAATAGAAAAGGGAGTTTAATTTGGAGAACTGCCCTGCGGTAGTGATGTGGGCAGTTTGGTCTGAAAGGAATAGAAGAATCTTCAGCAACAAAGCTAAGAGCACAGAGGAGATAGTACAGCAGGCAGTCAGCAAGCTGATTTCCTGGGTGGCTGTTACACCTGATTTTGAAGGTCTAAATGTTCCTGTATTAGTAAAGTCCACTTCGATCTGGGATCTGTAGCTTGTCCTAAAATCTGAGCAGCTACTTGTGGCTGGCTCTCTTGTTGTACTGAGTTATTTGCTGATTCAATAAAATTATTACTTTACCTTTCAAAAAAAAAATAATAAAAAAAGAACAAATGGGGATTCTGTAATTAGATAATTGGCTTATTCCAGACTAACAAGGGAGTAAAAGAAAAATTAGGTTTATGGACAAATACCTTAGATAGAGGTTTTAAGGTAGGACTAGAACAGAATATATGCAATGTAAATTTGATAATGATAGGAATGCAAACCAGGGTAAACTTAGGATTGGAGACTAAGAGATAACTCCATGTGACATCTTTCATTACCGAAGTTGAATAAACAAATGGAAAGATTGAGAAGGATGTCACCTATAGAGATAGAGTAGGATGGGCAAAATGGAGGGTGCATCCGATGTCTAATGTGATAAACAAATAACACATAGGCTAAAAGGAAAACTTTATAAATTGTAAGACCAGCGATTTGTATGGAGCAAAGTGTTGGGCAGTCAAGAAAAGTTATGTCCAAAAAATGAATGTGACAAAAATGTAGATGTTTAGATGGACAAGTGGAAAAGCTAGAAAGGATAGGGCTAGAAATGAACTCATTTGACCAAACCTAGGGGTAGCACCAATAGGTGATAAAATGAGGAAAATAGACTAAGATGGTTTGGTCTTGTACATAGAAGACCATCAATAGCAGTCATTAGAAGAAGTTATCTGTTAAAGTTAAGGGGATAGAAGAGGGGTAGGCCAAAAGGGACATGGGTTGAGGTGGTAAGAAATGATTCAAGGGCTCCCTTGTCACCCAAACATTGTATTTTGCTTTTCTAATGAATAAATTTCTTCTTTATTGATCTTCAAAAAAATTTTTAAGGGCTCATAATTTAACAATGGATATGGTATTCATAAAAAAAAAAACAATGGATATGGCATTAAGAATGGAATGGTGAAAGGATTCATGTAGCTGATCGCATATAGTTGGGACAAGGCTTAGATGATTATAATGATTGGCTTGCTCTTCTGAATATGATTCACTTATTATAATCCAAAAGGAAAAAAAAAGAAGAAAAGACATACAACTATAAATGAGGATCCTCAATCTAATTGAAACATACACTAACAAAAAAAGACTGAAGTCAGGATGACAAATTAATAATACGAGTACAAAAGAGAAAATGGATAAAAGACTAAAGGGAGACACGAAGACATGTACCTATTTAAGTCTATTTCTCATATTTAAATGTGTCTTGTATTTGGGAAATTTTCTGTTCTCTTTTTGGTTGCAGATGGGTCCCCCCACAAGATGTGGTAAGCTTATTCAACCCCAACTTCCTGAGGCAAAAGAAAAAAAGAGGGAGGATTATGTGTAGGATAGTAATAGCAGCATTGGTGTGGACTATTTGGGAAGAAAGAAACCAAGGGATTTTTTATGAAAATAGCAGATTTAAGGAGGAGCTGATTGAAGCTATAACAGTTAGAGCTGCGCATAGGGTAAAAACTTTGTTTTATATCTAGGACCAGGAATTGATAAATTGGATACTTGAGCTTTAAGGTGTATATTTCTTGGGTATTCTCATACTCAAAAGGGGTACAAATATTATTGTCCAGAGTTGAAGAACTATTTCGTTTATCTTGATGTCACCTTTTTTGAATTTGTTCCCTTATTTACTATGACTAAAATCTAAATATCATTTTGTTGATTCCTTAGTACCACCACGTGTTCCTGTGGATTCTCCTCCATCTCCACCTGTTGAGAAGCCACCCACTTAACACGTATATACACAATGTAAGCTCCAACATCTCCTATATCTCTCCCTCAATCAACAGCTCCTTTGTTATCTAACTTAAATTTCCCACTGCCACAAGCAAATGTAAGCAACTATATTGAACATTGTATATTCTTAACTACTGATCATTTGTCTCCTTCCTATTGACAATTCCTTTCCTTCTTATCCTTTGTTTTCATACTAACCTTTGTGACAAAAGTCCTTGTCTCTTGTTGTTGAAAAAATCACACATGAGATCTTAATAGAAGTACTGAGCGCTTAAAAGCTCAACGTGTAGAGAAGGGGTATACCCAAACATAAGGGATTGATTATTCAAAGGCATCTCCAATAGCTAAAATTGCTTCTTTTTGAGTTGTAATTTCACCTGTTGATCATTTCAATTGGCCATTATTCCATGTTGACATAAAAAATAGACTTAGTGGAGGAACTGTATATAGAGCAACCTCCTAGACTGCTACTCAAGGGGAGGAGGATGAAGTTTGTGTTTGCTGAAAGATTGTAGCTGAAGTAGTAGAAGAGAGGTAAAGGCAAACAAGTGCTGAGAATGTCGAACTGAGTAACCCAGTCGATAGTACTATTATTTATAGTAGATTACAATATAGTGTTACATGAAATGTCTGGAATGCCCCTGATTAGTGATGGGACACCCAGACTGCTTAAAACACTAAACAGACTTAGGCCCAATAACAAAGGCCCAATACCTAACAGCTTAAAACCCAATACAAACTAACATGTACACTTATCAGCCGAACCAACAATACATAAACACAGTCAACTTAACAGTTTGCAAGTTATGTAAAGCAATATAGGGCTTAAAAAATCATCATGTGCCAGAGATTCTCTGTCTCAAATCATTATTTTAAGAGTGGGTGTTCAAATCAATAGACCCTTATTGTTGTATTGTTATAATCATGCAGCTATTAACATGGCTCATTACATAGCTTATAATCTAGTTCAGCTGGTTACAAAGCCACAACTACATGGTTCACTTAGTAAGTTAAGCATGATAGATATCTGTGCTCACTTGAGGGGAATGTTGATAATGTACTATATTAGCTGCTATATCTGGCTGTTTGTCCAATTGGTTGTATAAATCTTACTGTTTCCTTTTTTTTTTTTATGTTTATGAGCCTTATAGACCTTACTTTTTATTCCTTTGTTGCCACCACCTAATCAGGTGCATTAATTGTAATTTTCTTCTTCTTTTATATCAGTTAATATAAAAGGCAGTGGGCTGCACCATAGCACCCACAATTTGGACTTTAGAGTGGTTTCCTCTCCAACATTCTCTTCTTCTTCCTCTCTTTTTCCTCTCTTGTTTCACTCTGCTGCTTTTCATCTTTATTTTCATCAATTATTATCAGATTTTATTACCAGTTTACAAAAATATATTTTGGTGGTAGGCACAGTACTAACACAGCTTCATAAGTTGACTTATGAGAATTGTCAAAACAATTTATGAGATCTGCTACCTAATGAATGTGGTCTCTTAAGAAACCTAAATAAAATCTATATGTACACTGTTGCAGACTTTGCTGTAACTAAGTTTGAACTTATATCATAAATAATTATAGATATATGCGATTATGTTACTTATGTTATAAGCATTTATATAACCAAATAAAATAAGTCAGCAGCAACAACAAAGTTTTGGATCTCATCCATCACCTCATTATAAAAATTATTTCCTAGGAAAACCACATGTTTACTACAGGGAGGGAGAGGTGGTGGGAGGAAACTGTAACGATAAAATATACCTGCTGAAGAGAAGCAGTCTTTGCTCTAAAAGATGCCTCAAGAAACTCAGCTTCCTTCTTAAGTTTCCTAATTCTCTCGAGGTCAGAACAAGCAGCTTTTAAATGCTCTTTACCAGAATTGGAGCTGGAGACATGTAGCTCTTGAAGCAATTGTTCTAATCTTATGACAGCTTCTTCAACACTCTCCAATACCTGGAGACATACAACCAATAATAAATAACAAGAAATTACAAGTTACCATGGGACACAAATGAAAAATGACCAGGGTTATGTTACAGTACCAAGAAGCTAGATAAGTTTGGTCCAAAATATGCAATAAATAGCCACTAGATATAGTGCCTATTTTTGTAGATTAATAGCAAAATAAACAACAATTTAAACACAATGGACCTCTCAAAACGTCAAATAAGGAACAAACTAAGTAGGATGGTGAAAACTCACATGAAAAGCAAAAGTAAAATTGTTTTGAAGGTTAAGGTTTATTGTCAGAATTAATCTAGGTGTACATGCAACCTGTTGAAGTTTGGCCTGCCCTAGAAGTCTGTTTTGTTTGTTAGCTGAAAAGTAAAGTAAACAGCAAGAAGGAAGAGAGGAAAGAAGAAGGAAGAAAGAGGAAG